AGCCTCCGTCTCCAACACCACACCCGATACTCAACAGGCCCCCTTCACAGCCTCCGTCTCAAACCCCCGCCGACTAACACACCCACACTTACATAGGCACACACACCAACACAGACCAACACAACGCATCAATATCAAAAGCCATCACGGGTCCAGACACACAACACAACAGCACCACATTGGCATCTTCTACCACGGCCCACAACACCGACCCACACACCACACAAACACCGGCCCATAACACCAGCACCCATCCAGGCACATAGACCAACATGGACCCACACTACACAACGACACGACAACACAGCATCACAGCAGATCTTCCGATCCGTCATGTCTGCTTGGATTTTTCAAGATGGAAGGGAGGTTAATGATAGGTGCAGGGGTATACCTACATGTGTATATATATGAAAGAGCGTGTTCTACCGCTGCTGGCGGAAAACCGGGGGGGGTCACTACCGGTTCGAACCCCTCCCCCCCCCCCCCCCCCACCCTCCGGAAAACCGGGGGGGTCACTACCGGTTTCGCCCCTGCCCCCCCCCCCCCCCCCTGCTCATCATGAAAGGGGGGGGGGGTCACTTACCGCCGGTTCGAACCCCTCCCCCCCCCCCCCCCCCCCCCTCCGGATCCGGAAAACCGGGGGGGGGTCACTACCGGTTCGAACCCCCCCCCCTCGAAAACCGAGTGGGGGTGCGGACAGTGGTGGGGACGGTGTTGGTGGGGACAGTGGTGAGGGGATAGCGGGACAGTGGTGGGGACAGTGGGACAGTGGGACAGTGGTGGGGACGGTAGTGGTGGGGACAGTGGTGGGGACAATGGTGGGAACAGGGGGGACAGTGGACAGTGGTGGTGACGGTGGTGGTGGGGACAGTGGTGTGGGGACAATGGGAATGAGGTGGAAACAGTGGGACAGTGGAGGGTACAATGGTGGTGGGGACAGTGGTGAAGGCGGTGGCGAGGACGGCGGTGGGACAATGGGACAGAGGTACAGTGGGGACAGTGGTGGGGACAGTGGGGACAGTGGTGGGAACAGTGGGACAGCTCAGTGGGACAGCGGAGGAGTCAGTGGGACAGTGGGGACAGTGGGGATAGTCGGGCAGTGGTTGGGGCCGTGGAGACAGTGGGGAGAGTGGAACCGTGGTGGGAACAGTTCTGGGGACAGCGGGGACAGTGCGACAGTGGTGGGGCCACTGGTGGGGACAGTAGGGGCGGTGGTGGAACCAGTGGGGACAGCGGTGGTGAGGACAGTGGTGCTGGGAACACCAGTGGGGGATGTGATGCGGACGGTGGTGGGGACCGGGAGTCGTTTGCTGGCGGTGAGTAGGGGGGGGGGGGGGGGGGGGGTGGGGGGGAGGGGGGGGGGGGAGGGGGGGGGGGGGGGGGGGGGAGGGGTTCGAACTGGTAGTGACCCCCCCCGGTTTTCCGGATCCGGAGGGGGGGGGGGGGAGGGGTTCGAACCGGTAGTGACCCCCCCCGGTTTTCGAGCGGGAAGGGGGGGGGGGTGGGGGGGGGAGGGGTTAGGGGAGGGGGGGGTTTTGCCGGGGGAGAGGGTGGGGTGTGGGGGGGGGTCCAGCAGGGGGGGGGGGATTTTCGGAGGGGGGGGGGAACCCCGGGCTCCGGAGGAAAAGGTTGGCAATTTTCCAAAGTAAAGCGGCGGTGGAAGACGCTCTTCAATATATATATTTATATAATATTATGATGTATTATATTATAAATTTGATTGTGTGTGTAGATGTGTCTATATATGTGTTCCCCCCAAAAAGACACATTTAATCTTGGATCGTATTCACGTTCATCATTATCGTATTCACCTTTCCCGTGGTGCAAAGAAACGGTGTGTATGTTTGGTTGTGTCTGGGTTGTTTTGGGTCAGGGTGCAAGGGAACAGTGCGTATGTTTGGGTTTTCTTTGGTTTTGGGAGCTCAAGTGCTCCCTCGCCCCCCACCCCCCCCCCAGCAACCCCTGATCCTCCTTCTTCATCGTTCCCCCTCGTTATCCTGCTTGTCGCAAAGCAAGAAAACGAAAACCAAGCATACACAGTGTTTGGCGCCCTCGGAACATGGAAACCAAGTGTATGTGTGGTGGTGTTATGTTTGTTTTTTTGTATAGCATGCAAGGAACCGCTTTTAAAAAACAAATCATATAAACATGAAAGCTCACGTGCTCCCCGCGGCCTCCCCCCCAGTGCCTCCTCGTTCTCCCCATTCCTCGTTCCCCCATCTTTCCCCTCATGTTTTTGTTCCTCCTCCTTGTCGCAACGCAAAGCGACCAAACATACACAGTGTTTGGCGTCCTTGGTGCATGGACGCGCTGATTGTTTTTTTGTGTTGTTGCTTTGTTTTTGTTTTGTTTTATGTCTAGGATGCAAGAACACATGTTGTGTATGTTTTGTAATATTATTTGGCTTTGGAAGCTCAAGTGCTTCCCGCGGCCTCCCCTCCAGCAACTCCTCCTTCTCCCCCTTCCTCTCCCCCCCTCCTTCTGATCCTTTCCTTTTCCTCCTTCTTGCGGCAAAGCAAGAAAACCATGACTACACAGTGTTTGGCGCCCTCGGAGCAAGGAAGCGCTGTGTATGTTTGGTGTTTCTGGTTTTGTTGGTATAGCATGCGAAGAATCAGTGCGTTTTTTTTGTGTTGTAAGATCAAGTGCTCCCCGAGGCCTCCCCTCCTTCCCCCCGCTCTCGCTCGTTCTCCCCCCCTTCTTCTTGCAGGGCCCACACCAATTCCAATGGTGGGCACATGTACGCCCACGAAGGATTGTCCGCCCGTTCAGGTTTGCCCGCCTGTCTAAGCCCGCCGCCCCCCGCAAAGAGAACAAATCCACCCAAACGGGGTGTGATCGAAGACAAAAGGGGCGAGCATCGAGGCTGTGGAGAACCCGTTCCGAATGACACGCGGGCAAGTAAGAGCGAACAGTCTTAGAATGGTTGTTGTTGTTGTTGTTGAACATTATTAATTCTAAAGAATAATTATTGTTGGGACCCCTGGTGCACGGCCCCCCTGCGCCGCCTAGGCCGCAGCTACATTTTCATCATTTTCGTGAGGAAGCCTCAGGTAATTCGATGTGATCAAGATCCGGTTGTTTTGTTCCCCCCCGCTTTCCCTTGCAAAAAACACTATAAAATGACATTTCTTGTTCTAATATAATCAAATTTCAAGAATCCCTTGCAAAAAATAAGGTAAAGTGGACATTCGCGCGCGCAAGACGAAATCCTTCCAAAAGCTTAGTGTTCGGAGCGATTTTAACATAAAAACATCAAAAAACCAATGGTTTTTCAACAAAAAAATGTCAAAATCTCATCCCGCGCGCTCTTGCGGATTCGTAGGAAACCCAACACTTTTTAAATCATTTCTGTCAAACGGGCTTTTGCGAGCAACTTTTTCGAACTTCTGCAACAACGGTTGCGCACCTGCCAGGGCCATCATCCCTGTCAAATAATACCATGCGGGACACATGCGCCCAGGAATTCCACAAATGTGACCAACTATCTTGCGAGTACGTATCATCTCATGTGTGTCGTGCACACTATCAAATGTAACAGAGTTGTGTATTCCCATCATCCCAGGAACTTGACCCAAAAATGTGACCAACTCCGCTCTCTCTGTCTCTCTCTCTCTGTCTGCTCTCTGTCTCTCTCTCTGTCTCTCTGTATTATGTATGTATGGCACAATTGCACCATGCTGGGCACATGCGCGCCCCGAATAAGTGACCAAGTTCTGTGGGTGTGTACCCCACGCCAGTGTAGTAGCCACGGTCGTCCGCACGCCACGAAGTGAAGTGTCCCAACGTCATAGGGCGGGAAGCTGGGTTTGGGTGGTCGCGAAGAGTCGTTTGGATATTTGGTAGAGCTTGTAATGCCCCCCCACGAAGTGGGGGTATTGCCTGGTGTCGTATGAAAACCCTGGCACTGGGGAGAACACCACGCGTTCGGGTAAAATGATTGTTGTTGTTGTTGTTGTTGTTGTTATTGTTGTTGTTATTGTTCTTGTTGTTGTTGTTGTTGTTGTTATTCTTCTTGTTGTTGTTCTTGTTGTTCTTGTTGTTGAATGCTCGTTACTAAACAGCTATCATTTTTTGACCTCTTACAGGCGCCGTGCCGCTCTCGCCGAGGCGCCGGCTGCGTTGTCATTGAACATGAGGCTCACTCTCAAGCGGTTTGGGGGGCCGCCACAACCGGCCCCCGAACAACAGCAACAATATTCCCGTTGGAGACCCCCTCCTTTTTTATTCAGGGCCGGTGTCTTTGCTCGCCGCCAGAAACACCCGTCTCGACAAAACCAGCCGCTCCCGCTCGAGTTTCCTCCCGCCTTACCTTGAGCAGGCGCGTTACTCTTTCTCTCATCGGCGCCGCCCCCCAGCAACAACAACGCTCCCGCTCGGGACTTCCTCCTTTTTTCACTCAAGGCGGTCCTCTTGCTCGCCGCCGACATCCCCCCGTCCCGACAAAGCCAGCGCTCCCGCCCGAGACTTCCTTCCGTTTTACGTTGGACTGGCGCCATTTTCTCTTCCTCCTCCTCCTTCTCCTCCTCCTCCTCCTCCTGGCTGCCATCTGGGCTCCAGAGATTGCCAGGGCATCCTCGCAAAGCCACTCCGTCAGTACACAGCATGTGGAGAGATTGGCTGGGGGGGCGGCCCGCATGGCAGCGACGGCATGGACGGCCTCACGGCATGTCAGCGACCTGATTACCGCGCAATGTGTGCCCGCTGGACCGCAGAGGCACCCTGCAACGACTTCAAGCGCACAGAATCGAGCCAGACGCAGACTATTCCTACATTGCGTGCGCCCGACTGACTCAGCTGAACTACCTCGCCTGCATGGCGCACGAGGCGGAGAAGGACTACAGAGGGCAGCGCGCTCTTACGCGGCGACCGAGCAGTTGAGCTTCACAGAACAGCCGCCACGACCCTGGAGCAGCAGCAGAGCTTCGCGGACCAGGGGAAAACACTGGGCATTAAGGACGACGCGACCGACGCAAAAGCAGCCGAGCTACGACGACCAGGACTCGACGCAGGGCACCAGGGACGCCACGACCTTGGAGCAGCAGCAGAGCTTCGCGGACCAGGAGGAGGTGCCGAACACCAAAGACTACGCGACGCACGAGAAGAAGCATAGCCACGACTACCAGGAGGAGACGCTGAACGCCAAGGACAATCCGACGCGCGCGAAGCAGCAGAACCGCGACGACCAAGACCCGACGTTGGGCACCAAGGACACCTCTTTGGAGCAGCAGAGCTTCACGGACCCAGAGGAGGCGCTGAGCACCAAGAACTGCGCAACGCGCGAGAAGCACCATAACTACGACGGCCTGGACAGGACGCTGGGCACCGAGGGCGCCGCGCCCTCGGAGCAGCAGGGCTTCGCAGACCAGGAGGAGACGCCGAACACCAAACCCCGCGCGACGCACGAGAAGCAGCACACCTACGCCGAATAGGACGAGGCGCTGGGCACGCAGCGGCGCGAAGATAATGCGGCGCGCGAGGTGCCACCGACTTTCTTCGACCTGGACGCGACGCTGGGCACCGAGGGCGCCGCGACCTTGGAGCAGCAGAGCTACGCAGACCAGGAGGAGACGCTGAACACCGACTCCCGCGCCACGTACAAGAAGCAGCACAGATACGACGACCAGGGCGAGGCGCTGGGCAAGCAGGGGCGCGAAGATAACGAGGCGTGCGAGGTACCGCCCACTGTCCTCGATCTCGTATGCGACGTCGTGCGGATGCGGCTCGAGGAGGGATACGAGGTCACGGCTTTGTGGATGCACGACGCGTTCTACATGTGGATCGAGGAGTCAGTCGTCGAGCGGTCCGTCATCGGTGTCTTCGAGCGCGACGACACGGGGCACACAGTAGGAATGATCGTGCCGAGCGGCACCGAGAGCGACGAAGAGGACACCGACATAGAGCAGGCGTCCGGGAGGGCGGGTGCTACCCCGCCCACCACCCTTGCGCGGGGTGGGCGGTGCGGGCTGGGCCCGAGCGTTTTTGTTTGTCGCCTGCTCCCACAGCGCGACCGGGCCACAGCTAGGGCGAGTTAGTAACGAATTTCGAACGTGGCCTGCTCCAGAGTAGACGACGCACCAGACATCGGCCCCAACGTTCGATCGATCGATCCTCCTCCTCTTCCTCCTTTTCCTCCTCCTCCTCCCCCTCCGCCTCCTCCTCATGCCTCCTCCCGCCCTCCCTCCTTTTCCTCCCTCTTCCTTCCTCCACCCTCCCTCCTCTTCTCCCCCCTCCCTCCTCTCTCTTCCGCCCCTCTTTCCTCCCTTTTCCTCCGTCCCCCCTTTTCCTCCCTCTCCTCCTCCTCTCCCTCCTCCTCCTCCTCCTCCTCCTCCTTCTCCTCTTCCTCCTCCTCCTCCTCCTCCCCTCCTATTCTCTCTCCCTCCTCCTCCTCCTCTCCTTCCCCTTCCCCCTTCTCTCTTCCTCCCCCTTTCCTCCTTCCACCATTCCTCTTATCCCTCCTCCTACTCCCTCTCCCCCTCCCTGTTCCTCCCTCCTCCTCCCTCATCCTCCCTTCCCCCTCCCCCCTCCCCCCTTCCTCCTTTCCCTCTTCGTCCCCCTTATCTTCTCCCTTCTCCTGCCTCCCTCCGCCCTCCCCCCTCCTCCCTTCCCCATTCAGTCCTCCCTCGTCGCTCACGTTTGATACTTCATCACCTTTTACTCCAAATTGTGGCCCTCGTTTCGGCATCGCCTGTGGGGGACTTCCAAGAGTCCCCGTTGAACGTTAATTGTCAAACATCTATTTTTTTGGGAGCATCGATAATGTGGAGGGGGAGGAGAAGAAGGAGGACGGGTGACTTCCAGGGACTCCAAGGATCGAGGGTCGACGGATTCATGTCAGGCATTCCTTGGGAGGGCGTGGATGGGGCAGGTGGAGGTTGCGAGCGAGCATGGGGGCGACAGCGCCTGGGGGTGTGGACGTTCAGGGTCGCGTGCCCTGGCTGCAGGATGGCGGCGTAACAGTTCGAAGGAGGAGTAAGAACCACCTCGTCTTCGGAGACAGTGCCACTACAATTGCTGATCCTTCCCCCCCCTCCTCCTCCTCACCCATTCTCGTCCTCCTCTCCCTGTTCCTCCCCCTCATTTTCTTTCTTCTCCTCGTCCTCTTCCCCCTCCTCCTCCGAAATGCGCGGCGCGCGCAAGGCGATTGCGATGGCGATGTGCCGTCCGAGCTGTGGATGCCGAGGTTCCTCGGAACAGGTGGTGGCAATATTTTCTTGGAAGGAGGATCAGGGCGACGGAATTCCGGGCCCCGCGTGCCAGAACAATTTCCCACGATGGGGCGTGGTCTCGAGAAGGATGTTGGTGACGTGTGGAAGCATGGCGCATGATGGTAAAATGATGTGTGTTGTTGTTGTCGTTTGCTGCGGTTGTTGATGTTGTTGCTTATGTTGCTAATGCTGCTAATGTTGATGGTGTTGTTGTTGCCGTGGTTGTTGTTGTTTTTGTTGTTGTTGTTGTCGTTATCGTTGTCGTTGTTGTTGTTGTTGTTGTTGTTGTTGTTGTTGTTCGTTGTTCGTTGTTCGTTGTCGTCGTCCCGCCCGCGACCCACCCGCGAATTGTCCCGCGACCCGCCCCGCGATCCACCCCGCGACCCACCTGCGACCCCACCTGCAATCCAACCCGCGACCCACCCGCGACCCACCCACGACCCACCCGCGACCCACCCGCGAACCACCAACGAACCACCCCGCGACCCACCCGCGACCCACCCACGACCCATCCGCGACCCACCCGCGACCCACCCGCGACCCACGTGCGACGCACCCGTGACCCAACCCGCGACCCACCCCCGACCCACCCGCGACCCGCCCTCGACCCAACAACGACCCAGCCGCAATCATTTTCGGGCGACCGTTCGTTCCGAATCGCGTTCCCGTTGCAGCGTTGGCCTCATTGCCGCGCTGCCGCTCGCTTCGAATCGGGATCCCGCAACGCCATCCCACGGCGTGTTTTTTTGTCAAATAGGCTCCACCATTTAGAGACATGGCCCCCCGAAGAACCATCGGAAGTGATTACACATTCGGTGCCGATTCGTTGTTTTTTTTTGCCGCGGAACCCCCCACTTTTGGGCGTCGCCACGCCATGCTTTGTCACGCTAAGCGCCCCCATTTCTGAGTTTCCGCGTTTGGTGATTTTTGTTGTTCAAAGTGTTGTTTTCGCTGAAGTGTTGGCTTCCTGTTCGGGCTACCGCTCGTTCCGAATTGCGTTCCCGCCACAGCGATGGCCTCATTTCCGCGTTTCCGCTCTTTCCGAATCGCGTTCCCGTTGCAACGCTGGCGTTATTATTGCAAATTCCGTGCCACGGCATGGTTTTCGGTCCTTCCAAAAGGTCCCAAACTGTAAAAAATGGCGTTCCGAAAAACCATAGGAAGTGATTCCACGTTCGGCGTCGATTCGTTGATTTGTTTAGCCGCGGAAAGCCCCCGCCATTAATCGGATGCAGCGTCATGCTATGCATTAGTCTTCCACACTGTGCTATGCCATGTGTTGTTACGCCATGGAACTACATCCGATACTGCGAATAGAAAGGAGATCTACGCCATGGTAACGCATGGGCGGGAGGGATAGGACGTCAGATATGACGCAAACGCACCTGGCTTGTCATTCCCCCCCTCCCCCCATCCCCCCTCCCAAGGAATTTCGCCTGACCAGCGGCGACCGGCGCGGCTGCGCTGCCTCATGCTGCTCCACAGCGCGGACCCCCAGAGGTCTCGACCCCTTCCCCCAGTGCAGGTCTTTCATTATTTGTTTTACAGTCCGGGGGCTTGACGAGGCACCCCTGGGAGCCGGAAGTGGCCCTAAACCGTCCGTCGTGAGCTTTTCACAGCGGCACTGGGGGATCCCGGCTTGGCGTGCCCGCTTGTTGGGATGTGTGCTTGCCCCAGCGGTCGAAAAGAGGAGCGGCGTGCTGCGACGCGCTGAGCGCCCCGCGACGTCGACAATTACAGCGGCGTTGTCAGCAGCGACTTCTGTGGCGGAGGTGCATGGGCTGACAGCCAGCGGCTATACTTCTGCGACCCACAGGCGTTTCGGAATGGGATTCCGGCGGGGGCTGTGAGTGCGTGTCGTCGGATGGGGGTCCCACCTCGATTGGGAGCTCCCCGCGGGGTCCGACAGCCCGCACCAAGACCTATAGCGCCTTCATCTCCTTGCCCTTCCACATTTCTCCTCACCAATGGTGTGAGCGCGAAGTATTCTTTCATCAGAGGTTGCGAATGCAGCAAGCACGGGGGCAACTGTTTGTTTTCAGCGGAGGAGTTGCCATGGCGACGGCAAATGCGCTGCGCATAAAGATGTGGCGGTGATGTCGGCGACACTTCTGCTTGGAGCTGGGTCGCTTGAGCGATCATCATGATTGGCGCTTGAGCGCCGATTTCCACGAGCTGCAAAGCAGCGACGATGACACTCACAAGACCATCATCTTGATGGCCATGTGAGTGATGAGGTTAATGATTTCGGCGCTGGCGAGAGGCCAGTGACTGTGACGTCAGCGTCCGTCGTTTGGGACGTTCTGGATTTTTATCAGGGCCACTTTGGGGCGCCCTCGCGGCCACGGCTTGATCCGTCTCGAGGTCCTTGCCAGATCGCTCCCAGGAACAGGCGGCCTGGAGGTCTGCAGTTTCGGCATTTCCCCGCGGTTCCGAAGTTTTTGGAGTGTCTCTGTGGGATTTGCACGTTTCTGGGGTGTCTCGAGCGATGCCGGTCGATTTCTTCCAGGATTTGTCAGCGTTTTCAACACATACTCAAGAAGAGGCACGAGTGCCAAGGATCATACCGCTACGCATACGGAGCAATACGTAGGGGATGGTGATGGCGCCAGGCTCTGCCAGCATTGGGGAAGTGCGCGAGTGCTGCGACACGCCGCCGCGACGGCGCGAAAAGAGGACAAGCCGAAGCCCTGAGGCGGGGGGGGGGGGGAGGCCAGGGAGGCCAGGGAGGCCAGGGCATGGGGGGGCACCAGGGAGGCCGGGGGGGGGGCCAGGGGAGGCCTCGACGACAC